ATACTTCCTCCATCGGGGACTCTCCTGGAGCCTCTGAGAACCACAACGCCGGGTCCAGCTGGTCCACTACAGAACCTAATACTCGCAAATTCCCATGGTCACAATACGCATTTCTCACTAGTGTTGCTCGTGATACTAACCGCCTCCTCATCCGAGTTGCCCAGTAACGATGATGACGATGATTCCAGTCGAATAGTGCGCTCATCGCCCGCCTGCAACGACGATTCCTCCGATGACATTTCTTGGCCAGGCGCGGCGTTGAGCAACACTTGTAGAGGAGAATAGAACCTCAACAAGGGCGAACAAATAAAAATCAAATGCCGTTTTCTTTAACGAATTCTCGTTACCTCTGCAGCATCTCTTCCTTCGTTTCGAATCGATCAGCAATCCAGTCTTTTACATGATCGCGTCGACTTGGGACCTCCGACCAGTGATATCGTGTCACACACATATGAATCTATCGAGTAATAAACTACACTATAAGTAGTAGTCGCTCACTCACCTCCCTAGGAAACCTTCCTTTCAATATGCTGTATATATCCGGTCGCTCGAACGGCTGAAAAAATACAGAAAAATTCCTATTTTTTTCCGAAAATTTTCCCACCCCAACCATCGCGTACTTGAAAGTTCACTGTTGCTGTGGTAACGTCTAAGCAACAATCTATAGCATTGAAAGTTCGAAGTGCATCAATGGCTATAGTTAGCAAACCGCTCGAAACTCCCGAAGTGTATCTAACACACAAGTACAATAAAAAACAGGGAGAACTAATCTGCACATCGTCAACTACATAATATGAAAATCCCACGTGGAAAATTTCTATCAGTTCCCTTACACTTCTACCCGAATTCATACGTGAACCTCTCAAGCGGACGTATATTCCTCCAACACTGACAACTACAGTCTCACCGAGGAACACGACTTTCACCGTCGTCCGACTCCGACGATTTCTCATCCGAGTCTGCATACGCCTCTGGATAGATCGCCAGGGTAATACCTTCACTATCATTGAAAGCCGCCAAGTACCTGTACATCGTCCGTGCAAAATTGGGTAAAATCGTCACACTTTACACACCAATAATCGTCCTAAACCGACTCACTCAATATGATGTCTCAATGAACTCCTATCTGCCTTCCGCATTTTCTCATCAGCTCCTCCTCCTCCCCTTTGCCGTCCAACGAACGGGAATAACATCATTTGCATCGCCCAGCCGATCACAGGGACTTTACGCCAACTTTCGTCAACGATAAACTTCAGTGTTGAAAGTCGGCGTAGTCGCAAACACAAACATATCAAACTCAGTGCATCCAACCTAAAACAGATGAATATCCCTCTTGTTACGATCTCGCTTCTTCGATTCACACAGAGTTTATGCGCATCGTGCTCTCTTCCAAATATTGAAAATCCTACTGAATTGCTCAGTGTTGTTGAGAATTCCGATTAGCAATCCAAGACGGCTAATCCTGGTTTTGAGGCCCCGCTCGCCCACCCGTTTCCCATGTTAGAGATTATCAAAGGTCTTTCTAGGTAGCCGTCTCGTAGTTCCTCACTTCCTGTGATCACCAGACGGATTTTACATAGTATTTCCACCAAACCGCCGATCAAACCGAAATACAGCAGTTGCACCTGTGGTATGGATGATAATAATAATAATGGCGATAACGATAGTAGTAGTAGTGATAACGATGATTTTTAGATTCGTCAACTTTTTTAAGAGCATGCCAACTTGTTGCTACTCCGAGTACTCTGCGTATTGTTGGATGTCTTCTGTTTTACCATCTGGGGGGGTTCATAAATGTAAATGTTCATTGTT